GGCCTGTCTCAAGAGGCCGTGCGACGCTATGGGGAACTTACCAAACTCCTGAGACAGCAACACGAAGTGAGGTCCCACCCATAACCCTGTCCCCATCCCCCTATACTGTTCCTCCCGGCCTTCCACCCATACTCATTGTCTCCTCTACAGATGTGTTTGAACCACGCCACACAGTTCACCCACCTGGGCAACATTGCTGAAACTATCAGGTGAGTGCTTCCTTACTGGTTCCTGCCCTGGCAGCCCAGCTGGCCAGGGCCCCAAGCAGTGCCTTCTCCCGTAGGTTCCAGAAGCTGGCAGAAGACTGTAAGCGGAGCATGGACACCCTAAAGCAAGCCTTTGCCCGCAGTCTGCCCACACCCGCCGCCCGCTTTGAGCAGAGGACCTTCAGTGTCATCAAGTAGGGCCCAAAGCCCCCTGGTTGGGGTATTGCTGGGGAGGGAAGCTTCTAAAGGTCTCATGGGACTCAACTCTGGTCAAGAGCAAGTGCATGGTGGGAGCACAGGCATGCAAAGGCTCTGGGGTGGGCGTGAAGTGCCGCATTGGCTATGCCCTGGCTGAGGCTTGGCAGATACTCAGAAAGGAAGAGGCTGGGTGTGTAGCTCAGTTGGTAGAATGCTTGCCCAGCATGCATGAGATCTTGGGTTCTAGGACCTCATAAACCAGATTTACATGCCTGTGATCCCAGCTCTCAGGAAGTGAAGGCAGGGGGATCAGAAATTCAAGGACTTTGTCTCAAAAGAAAAGGTTCCTCCAGTAGCTAAAGTCCTCTGGCACTTAGTAGGACTCCAGGAATATAGAGTAGGGCACAGCTCAGATGCTGCCAGGTACATAGTAGGAACACAAATAAAACTGGTAAATGAGGGTCAATGAGGTAGGTTGGCAAACAAAGGGACTTACTGCCAAACCTGACAACCTGAGTTAAAAAGAAAAAAAGAACTCTCAAAAGTGCTTCATTGACCTCACATGTATGTCATGGCACACCTGTATACATGTACACACACCAACACATGCACATGTATGTACAACACAATAAATACAAAAACACAAATAAAAGCAGGCACCAAATAAGTATGTGAGCACTGAACAGAGCCCAGAAGTCAGGCAAGGGGGTGCCTAACTCTACAGCCTGAACCCAGGAGCGACACCCCCATAATCAGGAGGGTTCCCCAGCCACTGAGGGAAATGAGAGCTGCAGCTCGGGGCTGAAGTGCCTGCCTCTGTTCCCCTCTATACTGACAGGGTCTTTCCGGACCTGAGCAACAACGACATGCTTCTGTTTATCTTGAAGGGCATCAACCTGCCCACACCCACAGGTGAGGGGCTGGCCTGGAAGCAAGGGTGGGCTGGTTTCTCTGCCTAGGTCTGACCCTTGTTTACCTGCAGGGCTGTCGCCCAGTGACCTGGATGCCTTTGTCCGGTTTGACTTCCCTTATCCCAATGTGGTAGGTGCAAACTCTAAGTAGGTGGGGGCGGGAAGCAAGGCAAGCAAGAAATCCAGGTCCAGCCTGGGCTTGATGATTCCTGCCTCCTCCCTGATACAGGAAGAAGCTCAGAAAGACAAGACCAGTGTGATCAAAAGTACAGACTCCCCTGGTGAGTCACCTGGCTTCCTACAGAAGAAAACCTAAAACTAGGGCCAGCGTGGGATTGTAGCTCAGGTGTACCCCGCAGGCACAAGCTGGGCTTCCATCCTAGCACCCTCAAGGGAACGAAAAGGAATGAGGAAAGATAGTTCTGTAGGTAAGCATTGCAGTGCAAGCAGAAGCGAGTGAGTTCGAATCTCCAGATCTGATTTAAATCCCACACTCCTACAGTGAGGTGAGGACAAGAGAGCTCGTGGGCCAGTTAACTTGGGGTGCACAAATGAGACAATGGCGGAAGGTGAAGACTACACCTGAGGTGGTGCTCTGCCCGCCACATGAACAAACACAACATGCACATACACACACAAGGCCAGTGCTCACTCCCACCCACATAGCCAGTTTCTTCTCATTCTTCCCTCCTTCCCTGCCTAGAATTCAAGGAGCAGTTCAAACTCTGCATCAACCGTGGCCACCGTGGCTTCCGAAGGGCCATCCAAACCAAGGGCATCAAGTTCGAAGTGGTCCACAAGGGGTAAGCCAGGGACCACAGGGTCTGGGCTCAGGGCTGTGGAGCAGCATGCCAACCATCACACCTTCCTACGCACAGGGGGCTGTTCAAGACTGACAGGGTGCTGGGCACAGCCCAGCTGAAACTGGATATGTTGGAAACAGCTTGTGAAGTCCATGAGATCCTGGAGGTGAGGCCGCAGTGGGTTCTTGCAGACTCTGAGCACCCTGGTCCGTTGTGACCAGCGTCACCTCTGGCCATTCCTGAGGGCTCCTGTTTGAGATTGCTGCTCTCGCCCACAGCACCTCTTCTTATTCCAACCTAGGTTTTGGATGGTCGCCGACCCACTGGGGGGCGGCTTGAAGTGATGGTCCGGATCCGGGAGCCCTTGACAGCCCAGCAGTTAGAGACTACGACGGAGAGGTGGCTGGTCATTGATCACCTCCCAGCAGCTGTGCCCACAGTGAGCCCCTGCCTATCTATCAGCCACCCCTGAGAGTAGGGCTGGGGTCAGGGAATCAGTACTCATTGGACTGGCTCTCTGTACCAAAACAGGTCTCTGGGCCCAAAGCAAAGGTGCCTCCCATAGCTGCCACTTGGAAGGAACCAGGGAACAGGTGAGTCTGGGCTAGGTCACACTGCCATGAATCCTTGTCTCTCGGTTCCTTTTATAGTATCCATGGCACATCAGACCCTATCCTGTCTGGCTCCAACACCATTCTTGAGCCCCTACTCTTGGAAAATTCAGTTCAAAAGCCTCTGCTTGACTTTTCATGATGTGACCCATTGTCAACATTCAGCCTCCTCTGTCTCCATTTGGTCTTTCCTCTCAGTTCATGGACATGTCTGCTTTTCTTCTGGCTTTATCTTTGTCTCTCTCCCTCAAGCAGGTCTCAAACTCATTCATGATCCCCCTGCCTCACATGCAGGGATGACAGACATGCCCCAGAACCTCCAGCATCAGACCTACTTTTCTCTGGTCCCTGGACTTCTTGAGGCCCTGCTGAGATCCCCTAGCCTAGCCCCTGTGTCTCTACCCAACTGATTCCTTTGGATCCCCACCACATCCTCTATAGCCCCCTCATGCCCCTTTCTACCCTGCAGATCAGCTCGGCCCCTGCATAGCCTTAGTGTGCTAGCTTTTGACCAAGAGCGGCTAGAAAGGAAGGTGGGTGCTTGTCCTGCTGGGATTAGCCGGGTGGGCCTCAGAGTCGGCTCTGATTGGCTCACAGCCTTCTTTGTTATCTTCCAGATCCTGGCCCTGAGGCAGGCACGCAGGCCTGTGCCCCCAGAAGTGGCCCAGCAGTACCAGGATGTTGTGCAGCGTAGCCAGTGGCAGAGGGCACAGCTGGAGCAGGGGGGTGCTGGCATCCGCAGGGGTAGGGGCAGGGCAGGAGGGGGGCTGGGAGGGGTTTATCTGGTGAGGGAGGTTCAAGAAAGGGTCTGGGGAGAGGCCTGTCTGCTAGGAGAGAGGTGTTTGTGTGTGGGGGGCACCCTGTGGAATGGGATGGAGGGGAAAGTGTAGAGAGGCATGCCTGACCCTGACCCCACTGCCACTTCTCAAGAGTATGCATCCCATCTGGAGCGCCAGCTGCACTTCTATACAGAGGCTGCCCGCCGCTTAGGCTATGATGGAAGCAGGGTAAGCTGGACTCTGTGGTGGGGACTAAAGTATAAGGGAAGGATCTCCTGGACTGTCAGCTAATCACCCCTTCCTCTAGGAGGCTGCAAAAGAGGCATTGTACCGGCGGAACCTGGTGGAGAGCGAGGTGAGCGGCCCCAGGGGTGGCGGGGGTGACACGTGGTGCTGGTCCCCTGACCCCCTATGTCCCCCACAGCTTCAGCGACTCCGCAGGTGAGGCCCATCCCTGGACTTGAGGCCCCACAGCCCAATGCCAGGCAGAGGTCCAGGGCCACCGAGCAGACAAGCAGACAATCAGCGGACAGTTGGTTCTGGACTCACCCTGTCCAGGCCCCCAGCCCCAGGGACGTCAGGACAGCACCCTCACCCAAGCCTGGCTGGTTGGGCCTTGGAGAGTCCTGTTTGCACATCCAGGAGCATCTGGAGCAAGGAGGGTGGCTGGGCACAAGCCCAGAGGGCCCTGCAAGCACTTTACTTCCTGTCCCTCCCCAGTCTTAACCCTACAGTCCTCTCCAAAGATGCCACTGAGGCTGTCAAACCCTGCTGGCTCTCCAGGGGCTATGCTGACCCAGCCATCCCCTTCCCCCAGGGCCAACACAGAATAAAGGCCACACCCACCTCAGCTCTCTTTTTTCCTTGATGTGGCCTGCTCAGTGACTGGCCTGGGCCCCCCACTCAGCCCAGTCCCCTGGAAAGGCCTGGGTAAGCCTGTGGCTTGGTTAGTGACCCATGTATCATCATCTGTCTCAGGTCATCCACACCAGTCACTGTCAGTGGGACCACACTGTCAGACTGGCCTCAGATCCTAGAGCCTGTCTGCAAGTCCTCTGGTCTCGGGGATGGAAAAGGCACTCCTGTGAAGCATAGGGAAGGGATGGGTCCCAGAGGGCACTGAGTGGGTGGGAATGTGGAAAAGAGTTCAGTTTATTTTCCCCATCACCATCTGGTGGAAGTATACGTGTAGTCTGCACCCCAGAATATTCAAGGCAGCATATGCATACTTGCTGCTTAAGCCCCCAACCACAGCTCTGGGCAGAACAGGCCCAGCCTCCAAGGCCCCAACTGAGAACTTAGTCCAAAGTTCACCAGAGCTCAGGTCAGGGCTACTTGACTAGCCCTGCCCTTGGGTGGCAGCTGGACCAAGACCTGTTCAGGGTTTTCTGCAGTGTCTACCACGCGTAGATGTGCAAGTCCTAGGAAGGCCTCAGCCGCAATGCTTGTCATATGAAGTCTGTTGGCCCTGTGCAGAGAGGCAGGGATGTTAGGCTGGTGACTTGGAAAAGCTACTGTCATCATCCAGACTCCCCTGCCCCTCACCTCAGAAAGAGGGCACGCAGGTGAGGTGTGCTGAGGAAGGCCTCTGGGCCCACGTGGCTGATACGGTTAGCCTGCAGGTGCAGCTCCTGGAGGGTCTCGGGCAAGTCAGGGGGCACAAAGGATAGCTCGTTGTGGCTCAGATCCAGCACCTGACAGGCACATAGCATGCAGCAGACTCAGGGCCTGGGCCTCACCCCTGAAGAGCTTCTAGCCCCCTCCCTGCTGTCTGCCTCTTCATGCCTTCTTGTTCGCTAATGTTGCCAAGTTCCTTCACTCAGTAGAGGTCCACTGAGCTGATACGTGGCTGTTTTATCCATGGGAGGTACAGGTAGATGTGGTCTCCACCTGCCTGACTCAGTAAGACTCAAGGGTGTGAAGATGGCGGTCCTAACACCCTCCTCACTCACCCTGTTTTTTCTTTCCTTCCTCTCCTTCCCTCCATTCCCTGTCCCTCCTCCACTTCCTTTTCTTCTTTCTGTAGCCTCAGCTGGCTTCAGACCCCACCCTCCTACTTCAGCCTCCCCATGCTGTGGAGACAGTTGCAGTCCCCCACACCTGGCCTTTTCTCTAGGATGTTTGGGGTCAGAAAGGGATAAGGACCCTGTTTTGTGCCCAGCTGGGATGCCAGAGCACAGCCACTGGGTAGAATGGGGGAGTGCTCAGGAGGTAGGACATACCAGCAACAACCCAAACAGTCTGTTTTAGCCGGCTCAGGCTGCCCACATGGGGTTCTGTGGCATGCCAGGGCTCAGAGCTGAGGAGTAGCTGGGGCAACGAGGGTTGGTGGGGAGGGGTTGGAGATGACCACATTGTAGTTAACCCCTGACCTGCAGTGCCTGCAACTCATGCCAGGTGCCAGGCCCTATGTCGCCCACGCGTAGCCGGTTGTGTGCCAGGCTTAGCTCCTGCAGCTTATTTAGGCCGGTCAGTAGCTCTGGCTCCAGGGCCCGCAGTTGGTTACGTTGCAGTTTCAGGAAGCGCAGACTGGCTGGCAGGCCCTCTGGCAGCCGGCTCAGCTGGTTGCCGGCCAGGTCCAAGCTGCGCAAGACACGCAGGCGGCGGAAGGCACCGGGATGCACGTGCGCGCTGGACAGGCGGTTGTAGGCCAGATTGAGCTCAGCCAGGGTTCGTGCAGAAACCAAATCTCGTGCACCTAGCACAGCCACGCGGTTGTGGGGCATCACCAGGGCCTTCAGGTGGCGGGGCAATGCTGGGGGCACGCGCTCGAGCCTGTTGCCATAGAGGTGCAGCGTGTGCAGAGCCCTCAGAGGCCTCAGCGTCCCCGCAGGCAGGGCTGAGGCCCCCAGTTCATTGTGTTGCAGCAACAGGTAGCGCAGGTCCCTTGCTCTGTGCAGCCGCACCGCTTCCACCTGCCGGATGCAGTTGCGACCCAGGTGCAGTATGGTCAGGGTTCCAGGTAGACCCTCAGGCACTGTGGCCAGCCGGTTGTGGGACAGGTCCAGGTACTCAAGGCTGCTCAGTTTGCTGATGGGAGAGACGGGTGATGGAATGAATGGTCACTTCGAGAAGGGACCCCAGCCAGGCAGGAGTTGTTAGCTCACACCTTTAATTCCAGCACTTGAGAGGCAGAAGCAAGTGGATCTCTATGAGTACAAGGCCAGTCAGGTCTACAAAGTAAGTTCCAGGACAGCTAGAGCTGTTACATTAAGAAATCCTATCTCCAGGGGAGGGGAGTGCCAGAAAGGAAAGGGAATGGTTTTAGGACTCCTTTAACCTGGAGGTTTCAAGTTGAGAGTAATGGAACAACAAAGTTGGGTTGATATGATACAGAAATGCATCTGGTAGCCCAGAATGGTCATGGGTGCAGGTATGGAATCCCAGCACACATGTGGTGAGCTAAGAGGATTGAGTTCCATGCCAACCTGGACTACACTTAGCCAGACTCTCAAAAAATCTAGGGTTTGGTTGGAGAGATGGCTCAGCAGTTAAGAGCACTGGTTGCTGCTCCTCCATAGAACCAGGGTTGGGACCCCAGCACCACATAGTGGCTCTCAGATATTGTGGCATAATTCTTAGTCCCAGCAATCAAGAGGCAGAGGAAGGCAGAGCTTAACTAGTTGGAGGCCAGTTTAGTCTACATAACAAGTCCCAGGACAACCATGGCTACACAGAGAGATCCTGTCCAAAAAAAGAAGGAAAGAAAAGCAAAAGCAAGAGCTAAGGTGCAACTCAGAGCCCCCCACCCCAGACGCCTGTCTAGAATCTGGAGGCCAGCAGACTTGTTTTGTTTCCTAGCACATGGAAGAACCTGGACTCCATAACCCCGTCACAAGAAACCCACAACTATTGGGTAATAGAACCGCAAAAACCGGTAGCAGGAGCCAAGCATCACAGCATACAGTAATACCAAACGGTATTCTAGGCAGGGCAGTTGGATGCACACTAGGTACTCACTAAACAAAGTCCTACAAAGGAGGGGGTCTGCTGCCAGCACAGAAATGCTGTGTCCCTACCTGAAGGTAGTAGCATCCAGGCCACCGTCTGTCAACTGATTATGCTGGAGGTATAGCTCTCGGAGTTGAGTCTGGAGGCTCAGTGCTCCTCTGGGCACCTTGGAGATAAGATTGTTCTGGAGGAGAAAGTGAAATAGAGGATCTGGCATGGGCAGCTACAGCAGCCACAGAAGGCTCTTGAGTGTCCAGGAACTTGTCTTGCTTGTGCAAGGCAGTGGAGGGTTTTTGTTTGTTTGTTTTGTTTTGTTTTTCTAAATGACTATTCTAATATCTGGAATTCGGGGGAGCAGTTGAAAAGATGGAAAAGGAGCAGGTGGAGAAACCTCACAGGTTTTGGGTATGTGTGTGATAGGCAGGGTACCTGCAGGTGAAGCCGCTCCAGGGAGGCTGGGAGGCTGGGTGGTAGGTAGCTGAGCTGGTTGCTGGAGAGACTTAGGGTGGTAATGGCCTCCGATCCATGGAAGGTGTTAGGTGGCAAACCAGTGTTGCTCAGTCGGTTGTTGTGGAGATACACAGACCTGAGAAGGGCAAGCTACCAGCCTACACATGTGTGTACCACACTCCCCAAGACAGGATTTCTCTGCATAGTCCAGGCTGTCCTGGATGGAACTCATTCTGAAAACCAGGCTGAGCTTGAACTCACAGAGATCCACTTGCCTCTGCTTCCCAAGTGCTGGGATTAAAGGTGAGTGCCACCATGGCCAGGCTTAGTCTAGACTTTTGATACAGTGTATGGGGCCCAATATCACAACTCAAGCTCCCCTCCCTGAGATCTCTCTGACCCCAAGTTTAGGTACATAGTCCACAAACTGAGCAGAGTGCCCCAGACCCCCCAAACTGATGAGTCCTCCCTGATACCACCCCCCCCCCCCCAAGCACAGGACCATGCCCCAGAGTCCCCAGCCTTCTCTGACTCTCCACCCCCAATGCCTCAGACCCTTCAAAACAGGGCTACTCTCTGCTTCTTATGCAAAACCATGTACATGCTTCCCAGGGCAGGCCTCTTTCTCCTGGGCAAAGTCTGGGGGCAGGGTCCTGGAATCAAAGGAAGGGGGCGGAGCCAGGGCTAAGGCTACCGGAGCTCAGGCTTCTCCCCAAAGGTGAGAGGAAAGATTTCCACCACTTCATTTGCAGCCAGATCGGCGACACGCAAGGAGTGTGGCAGGAACTGGGGCGCAACAGAGAGCTGCAACAGCAACAGCATCTGGTCCTGGTGTGGGGTTTCCTGCCTCCCCAGCCCCACACCCAGGTCCCGCATACTGGGTGACCCCAGCCAGGATGCACCCTCTCGGGGCTACACACAGGCTCACCTTGTTGTGGGCCACGTACAAGTGCTCTAGCTGGGTGAGGGACTCAAAGGCCTCATCAGGCAGACCTGGGTGGGGCGCACAGAGGGTAATGATGAGGGACCAGCGTTTCTAGCAGCCCTACTCTGAAGGCTAGGGACTAGCACAGGTCCCCAGCCCCCCCCCCCCAAACACACACACATCCTGTCCTTACTAAAAGCCACAGCCACCACCATCCCCCAACCCTTGAAATTCCACCCTGCTCAGCAGTTGTGGAAATCCCCGAAGAGCTGGCCACAACTGGCAAACAGCGGATGTGGAGAGGGGCTGGGACCGGGTTGTTCCAAGCTCGAGGTCCTCACCCTCTGAGGAGATGAGATTGCTGTGCAGGTCCAGGGTGCGCAAACCACTGAGGCGAGTTAACTCGTTGTAGGGGAGCTCCCGCAGCTGGTTGTTCTGTGGAATGGAGTAAAGACATTCATTCATACCAAGACCTGACCCTTACTCCTCAACTGGTAACCTAGAGGTATGGCCCAGAGGCAGAGCACTTGCTTAGCATCCACAGGCCCTGGGTTCATCCCTAATGTCTCCAAAAGCAGGAGGAGGAGAAGAAAGGAAAATATCCCATTCCATGACCCCAAACAACCTTGAGACCTGCAAGGCACTGGGCTCCTTACTACATTACCCACAACAACACTATTACCCTGAGCCCCCAAGCCTCACAGGCTGCCTCTGACACATCTCTAGCCACCACCACACACCCACACACAGAGTTTCACTACGCAGTGTCCATCCTCCTGCCTCAGAATCCTTACCAACACCTTTTCCCCAGGGCCTCCCAAAGCACCCCCATGACTCCCACCATCACAACGGCTGTCCCAGAACTCAATGTTTTGACCAAAGCAGCTTTATCCCTTCTAAGATGCTGACCGACCCCAAACTCAGCCTTCCCAAGATGCAGTGCTTTTCCCTCTGGCCCTGGCCTGGCTTAGCAGACCCAGAGCAAGGCCAGGTTCAGTTCTGGCTTGTGGTCCTCCCACCTGGACCCTGCCTGGGCCCTGTGCCTCCCTGAGTCTCTGACCCCCAGGCCTCACCTGCAAGGAAAGGTGCCGAACAGCCCTGGTGATATTGTCTGGGAATACCCTCAGGCCCAGGCCAGTGCAGTCCACTGTGTCATCTCGGGGACAGGAGCAGCGCCAAGGACAGGCCCTCAGCAGGGGCTGTGAGCTGTCACCCAGGTGCGGGAAGGCAGGATCTTCCATGTGTGCTTCAGTCCATCTCAGCATCAGGAGCAGCAGTAGCTCTTGAGGCTTCTGGGGTAAGGCAAGGGGTCAGCGGGACAGCCTGGTGAGGGGTCCCCCCTGCAGAGTAGGCTTAGCCACCTAGCCAGCGGAGAGAGCCAGGCAGGGGGTGGGCAGACCCACCCCAGACTCTCCCTGTCCACCTTACCATGATCAGCCCTGTGGTGCCTCTCCTCAAGCTCCAGTCCAGCATTCACTTGCTCCAACATCCCCTGTGACTTCCGCTGCCCTCCATCTCTCGGCATAGGGGACACACACACTCACTCTCAGCTATACTACAGGGCCTGGGAGGATGGCCACCCCCGGTCCCTCCCTGAAGAGGTCTGGATAGGGTAGCAAGGCTCAGCTAGCCCATCCCTCCACTTCCCGCCTGCTCCAACCACCCCAGCTCTATTTTCATAACCTCAGCCAGCCTAAACTGAACCACAGTGATGAGGAATGTTTGAGAAAGTCTGCTATTCACCCTATCTGGTATTTGGGCTGACCACAGGCAGGAATAGGGGTCCGAGGGTGGGGAAGGGCATTCGAGAGAATCCCCAAGGAGATGAAGCCAGCCGGGAGGGCTCCAGAGAGCCTTGCACTTCCCTGGTCACACCTAGCTGGCAGCCACAGCCCACCCCCAAAACAGGCTTGGCTTTTGAAAGGAAATTCACGCAAGGGAAGGCTAGTGGCTACCATATGGGCTAGGGACCGATCAGCCTGTTTGAACCTGGGCTCTGTGCCTCAGTTTCCCTTTTTTGTAAACTGGTCAAGGTTGTCTCATCTTCCAGAAACATTGTAGAGTTCAATAAGCTGATGCAGCTAGGTGGGTAGCATGTGACACAGGCCTACAAGCACAGAGCTTAGGGAGACTAAGGCAGGAAGATTCTAGTTGAGGCCCTGACTGTTGCTTAATACCCTGTCTCAAAAACAAGCAATGTGTCAAAAGTGTATGGGGAAAAAAAGACCCCTTCCTCAAAGGGCTGTCAAATAAAACAACCGAGGCTAGAGAGGTGGCTCAGAACACTCATGTGCTCTTCTGAAGGACTGACCTGAGCAGATGGGAAAGAGAGCCTAGCCTGAGCTAGTCGAAGAGTAGGCACGCAAGCAGCCTCCTCTGCACAAAGCTCCTGCTCCAGTTCCCGCCCCAGTGGCCCTCAGCAGCAGACTATGAGCTACATACAAGTGCTAGATGAAATGAACCTTTTCCACCTTAAGTTGCTTTGGTCAGTTCAGGAAAGAACTCCCAGGGAGTTCTAAAGGTGTTGTGGGATATTTGTGCACTGTGTGAGGATGTATTGCTATGATTGGTTTAATAAAGAGCTGAATGGCCAATAGCAAGGCAGGAGATGATAGGCTGGATTTCCAGGGAGAGAGAGGAAAAGAAGAAATCGAGGTGTACAGACTTTGCCAGCAGACTCAGAGCAAGTTGGATGTGCTGTACTAAGAAGAGGTTACCGAGCCATGTGGTAGAAAAAAATATGGATTAATTAAGTTATAAGAAATAGTTAGAAACAAGCCTAAGCTAAAGCCAAACTTTAACAATAATTAACAATAAGTCTCCAGACCATCACTGGGGAGCTGGTGGTTCCACAAAAGATAGTCTGACAAGAAAGTTTGCTATTTAAAGGAGGCTTCTTAGCACTCAGAAGTTGTGCAGGCATTGGTGGTGCATGCCTTTAATCCTGGCACTCAAGAGGTAGAGGCAGGTGGATCTTTGTGAGTTTGAGGCCATCCTGGACTACAGAGCAAGTTCCAGGAACAACAAAAAAAGTCACTCAAAAGCTGGAGGCAGTTAAGAGCACTGGTTTCTTTCCCAAAGGACCTGGGTTCAAGTCCCAGCACCCACATGGCAGCTCACACCTGTCTATCAATCCAGTTCCAGGGCTTTTGACACCCTTACACAGACATACATGCAGTCAAAACAACAATGTACATAAAATAAAAATAAATTATGAAAAATAAAGTGTGGTGGGACACACCTTTAAGTTCAAGGCCACCCTGTTCCACATAGCAAATTCCAGGCTGGCTATACAGTAAGATTCTGTTTTTAAAAAACATAATAAGTAAAAAACATTTGTTTCCAGGCAGTGGTGGTGCACACCTTTCATCCCAGCACTTGGGAAGCAGAGGCAGGTAGATCTGTCTGAGTTCGAGGCTAGCCTGGTCTACAGAGAGAGCTTCAGGGCAGCCAGGGATATGCAGAGAAACCCTGTCTTGAAAAACAAAACAAAACACAAACAAGAAGTACTTCTTAAAAGATGCCAACTATCAGAGATTCATTAAGACTCAGGAAGTAAACAACTCACAAGTATCAGGAAATCCCTGAACCTAGCAGGTGGACAAGCCCTCCTTCCCAGGGTTATATAAGCAGTAAGGACTGATGAGACGATTCAGAACAGCCAAGCTGACTGAAAAAAACAAACAAACAAAAAAAAAAACCAAAAAAAAAAAAAAAAAACAAAAACAAAAACACTGCTTTGATGGCAAGCTGCCTGCAAATTATGCAGAGAAAACACTCATACACATGAAAAAGATAATCTAAAAACAGAAGGGCCAAAGGCATGGCTATTAGGAGTACTTACCTAACCTGCACTGGGCCCTGGGTTCCATCCCCAGCACAAAATAAGCCAGGTCTGATAATTCACACCTAGAACCACAGAATTCCACCCTCAGGTACATATTGTGTATGCTAGCTAGTTCTATAACATTAATTAGAGTCGTTTGGGAAAAGGGACTCTAAATTGATAAAAAGGAAAAAAAAAGCCACCAGATTGGCTTGTAGGGTTGGGCAGTTTAGTCCTGGGGAGGTGGCTATGGGTTATATAAAAAAACAGCTGAGCAAGCCAGGAGTATCAGGTTAGGAAGCAGCATTCCTCTATAGATCCTGTATCACTTCCTGCCCTGAACTTCCTCAGTGATGGAGTGTGACCTGAGAGTTGCAAGATGAAATAAACACTTTCTAGCTGAAGTAGCTTTTGATCGTGGTGTTTTATCACCACAACATAAATCTTAACTGTGGTAAAAAAAAAAAAAACAGAAGCAGCAAAAAATGAAAAAGCTGCTAGTGATGTGCAAGCTGGCTGGGTAGAGGAATTATAATTTCTAATTCCATGTGCTTTTCTCCTGTGCCCTGGGCCTGTTTTCCATGTCTGGTTAGTGATTCAGAGAACAAAAAGTGCGGTCTGCCGTACTGTACACTGCTGTAATTTCCAATTAAATCCACATGTCATTGGGACGAGCTGACAATGGTCTTCTGGAATATGTCATGTGATCAGAAATATGGGGAGCCTTCGGTGATAACACCTGTGAGCCCAGCACGAGGAGGAGGCAGGGGAATCATGACTTTGAGACTAGCCTGAGCTACACGAGACCCTAACTAAAACACAAAACAAAGCAAAAACAAACAAGCAAAAAAAAAAAAAAAACAAAAAACAAAAAACCATGCCAAGTTGACAAAATGGCTAAGTGGGTAAAGGCACTTATTGCCAAGCTGGATAATCTGAGTTCAATCCCTGGGACCCACATGGTGAAAGAGAAGCAAACTCCAGCAAGCTGTCCTTAGGCCTCTGCCCAAGCACCACGCTACATATTTGCTGTGGCAGTGTGAGTGTAATTAGCCCCCATAAGCTCATAAAGGAATGCCACTATTAGGAGGTGTGGCTTTGTTGGAGTAGGTATGGCCTTGTTAGAGGAAGTGCATCACTTTGGGGGTGGGCTTTGAGGTCTCATATATGTTCAAGTCATGTTCAGTGTCTCAGTTCACTTCTTGTGAACTCTCAACTTTCACACTGTCATGTCATCCCATAATGACAATCCACCCAATTAAACGTTTATTTTTATAAGAGTTTCTGTGGACATGGTGTCTGTTCACAGCAATAGAAACTCTAAGACACACACCCACATGTATATACACAATAATAAATTAATTAATTAATTTTAAAAATCTGTATTTTCCAAGACAAGTTTTTTCTATATAACAGTCCTGGCTGTCCTGGAACTCACGTTGTAGACCAGGCTGACCTTGAACTCACAGATATTCTCCTGCCTCTGCCTCCCAAGTGCTGGGATTAAAGGCTTGTGTCACCTCCCCTGACTTTTTCTTTCTTTTTTGAGGTTCATTTTTTTAATTGATTTTAATACTTTGATATATATATTCACATGTGCAGGTGCCCACAGGGGCTCTACATGGAGTTTAGAGTTACAGGTGGTTCTTACCCACCAGACATAGCTGTTGGGAATTGAACTGGGGTCTTCTGGAGGAACAATACATGTTGTTTCCCTCTGAGTCGTATCTCCAGCTCCCTACACTCTGTGGTTGACATGAGAAAGGGAAGAAAGACTCCAGGCAGAGGGGTGAACTTTGTCAAAGGGAGAAGGTCGCCTGGTTGAAGAAGGCAGATGTGAAAGAGGTGAAGGGGAGGGTAGCTTGAAGACCCACCTCTAGCATCTCAGAGAACAGACTCAGAGGCCTCCTGGGAAGGTCATTAGGGAAAAGTTACAGATCAAATGAGATGGAAAATACAATGTATCCTCCATTAGCAAGATGACTTGGGGTCAAGACCCTTGACACAAAGCCTGAGGACTAGAGTTCAGTCCCTGGGGTCCACATGATGGAAAGAAAGAAATGACTCAAAAATTGTTCTCTGACCACACACACATGACCTGGCATATGCTCTCTCTCTCTCTCTCTCTCTCTCTCTCACACACACACACACACACACACACACACACACACACACAGAGTAATAAAATGTTTTTAAAAAATGTGTTCTAAGCTGGGCATTGGTAATGTACACCTTTAATCCCAGCACTTGGGAGGCAGAGGCAGGGGTATCTTTGTGAGTTTGAGGCCAGCCTGGTTTACAGAGCCATTTCCAGAACAGGCTACAAAGAAATACAGAGAAACCATGTCTTGAAAAACAAAACAAACAAACAAAAAACCAAAAAAAGTGTTCTAGGGATCTGGAAAGATGGCTGGGCAGTTTAGAGTGCTTGCTTGGATTCTTCCAGAGGATCCATGAAGTAGCTCACAGCCATCTGTAATCCCAGCTCCCAAGAATCTCTTGTCTTCTGACTTCCACAAGCACCACATGTGTACCAAACACCCATACACACAAAATAAATAAATCTTTCTTTTGTTGTTTTCGTTTGTTTTTCAAGTCAGGGTTTCTCTGTGTGGCCTCAGCTGTCCTGGAATTTGCCCTGTAGACCAGGCTGGCCTCAAACTCAGAGGTCTGCTGGACTCTGGACTCTGCTTTCCAAGTGCTAGGAATTAAGGTAAG